GTTTTATACAGGTAACTGACCAATTTTTCTCAAAGGTATACTATACACGTTTGAAAAGGAGCCCCTTTCTGCTTGACAAAACTATGGATCTGTACCTTTATTATCCTTAACCGACTTCTTTATGCTATACTATCCACATTTGAAAATATAGGTATATAATCTGCCAACGTTATCCTTGAAGGCTACTTATTTTTCCAAATTCAGAGCTTTTAAACAGTCAAATCCCTCGGATAAAACAAACCTAATGTCGATTCGTGTACACTGTATAAACAACTTTGTTTAGCATTTAAATACATACAACACACGTTGGGCACCTATACGCATTTAGAAATAAGCACGTATAGCTTTTTAAGCGTTTCACAGAAGCTAGACACGTTGGCAGTGTAACACGTTTAGCTATGTGTTTAGCTTCACGGCATATGATTCTATAACAAGTCTATCACAAGCTAAGCACATTGGCTAAGCACTGAGACAAAACAGGCGCTAAGAAATGTGTTTAAGTGCTAAACACTGTTTTTACAGTGTACGTCCTTCCGAAATATACGGGACTGGTCAGTGATAAAAAAAATATTATAATAATCTACTTCTAAATGGTTTAAAACATAGAATCCAAGTGTATGGACGCGTCGATCGATGATTCGTGAGTATGATAAGTTATCTATTTTCCCGAGGAATATTCGATTTGGCCCGAGCATTTCAGAACGGAAAATTCGTATCTTTTAACTGCACCTACTGGGTATGTATAAGGGACCATTCCCACATATATTTGGATCAATCTCCCTGGGGAGTCTCACTAAATTGCTGTCAAACTAAACGGCTTAAAACGTCTGTCACGAGTAGTAAAACTGTTAAGAGGTAATTATCTTTACCCCTAGCTGATTCGGTAGGCGTGACAGAGTTAAGCCTCTTGAGCTGATAGCAATTTAGAGTGTACCCCAGAGAGTTAGGTCGATCCAGATGGATCGATCTGAGTATGGGAACCCAATCTTAGAGAACTGACAACGGAATTTCCTTTTCCAGATTTAGCCGTGTGGTTCGGAAACCTGATCAGATTTGCATTCTTCGTCTACCGTTGTTTTGATTCTCTGATTCTTTAATTGTGACAAACACACCTTGAAGATGAACAGCATTGATAAACTGAGTCTTGAGTTTAATTCAGATCTTGTTACCGTCCAATTGCCCCGCTTAGTTTCTTTTACAAATGTTCAAATGAATTAACAAGCGGAGTGAGATTCCAACACGACCCACTCATATTAATCGAAACTTCTCCTTCTCTTTATAATTTGATCAACTAGGGAATCTTCCAGAGGCAATTAAGATAGTCCTTTAGTCCTTCGATACGCCCATCACCTCCTATATCAACAATAACAGTGTGAAGCTAAAATAAACAGAATCTGACTATGTATGCATTTGAACATTTAAATAGAACTAAGTACATTCGAGGTGTTTTAATAGGCTTAAACATCTACTAGATATAATAGTTTCAAAGAAATAATTAAATATTTAGATTTAATTTGCTAATCAGATATCAACACGATTAACCGGGGAAAATAAATTCCCGTAATAAGGTCAAATACCTTGAATTCATTAACATTTCATATTTCTACATTTAGTTAAGAAAATTTAAAGTCGTTTTTTAGTGTTGGAATACGTAATTTAACCTCATGATCTTTGCGTGTTAATAAAATGTCCATATTTTTGTGTTAACATATCCTGCAAGGTTGCTTATTTCACACAGTTAGGGCCCTAAATGATAAAAACCCCTCGTGTAAAAGTACCTTGTGTCGATATCTCCCTCCGAAATGTCAGAAAGACTATTGGTTTCTGAATTTCTGACCAGGCCGAAATAAACGAATTTGAGTTCCCGAATTTGGGTGAGATGATTAACTTTACTTCAAACACATACGCAAGCTACTGATTTAAAAAACTTATTAATGCCATTTTCGCAGAAAAGGGGAGCACCTAAAATTCTGCAAAATCTTTAAGATTTAAATCTTTTAAGATAATAAAATATGAGAAAATGACTTTAATCGGCAGTTTTTATCAGTAGGTTGTTAATGTGCTTTGGGTCAAATTTCTTCATCTCACACATATTTGTAAATGCGTTTGCTTCGAAACTGCAGATGTACCATTATGATTGACCTCAAGATAATGTTTGCTTCTGAATTTCTAAATGATATAAAAAGTATGAAAAGTATGGAAACATGTAATTTCATAGAATGAATGGTGAATATACAATAGATTTTATATACATGTATAAATGGAGGATCTTGTTTAGGGGTGCACTCGCAATGGACCCTGCGCCCCCCCCCCCTTCCCACTTTTAGTTTCGGGGATTCCCTTTCTACTCCCAAAATTAATGTAACTCACCAAAGATAATACTGTAACCACTTTTAGTGCAATCAATTTTGCAGGAGAAAAGGATGTTAATTTACTGCGTTTCAGAGGAGGTCAGTTCGTCCAAATTGCGTTAGTTGAGACAGTGTGAATGCAATTGTGTTACTTTTGGATTGTTTTGGGCTTGGTATTGCTATAGGTGATTGTGAGCAGGGGTGATCGAGTTTTACCACGTTGCGTTGTTTTCTTTCCTATCTCTAAACTCTGAAGAGTGTCAGATTAGTTGATTGAGCCAAAAGAACCCCCACTGTCCCAGTATCACAAATGAAATAACCTATTATTGCAGAATGATCGAAATAAGAAAAATCAGTTGGGAATGGAATGATATCAAGGACGAGTCCAAGTTGAAGAGCTGTCACGTGAACCCCCCCCCCCCCTCCAACCCCTTTGCTCCTCTGGTTGGCTAGCCAACTCGCACCAAAAATTCAAACTTTGTACTGTACGCTTTTAATATCCGGCAAAGCTTTGTGTTTTTCCCCCTGGTTCGGACATTACAAACGATGAGGCCTTTCAAATGAAAGTACTTCAATTTGTGATTTCTGTCCAAAATGTATAGGGATAAAGGCCTGGCAGTCAAAAAATCTAGCCAATCAATTTAGTAAACCTGAGGTTAATTTATTCTCATTGCGGTAGGTGTGACAGTGTGAAATTTAGTTCCTGTTGCGATTGTATTTGACGTGATATTATTGAAGGTGATTGTGCGCAAGCGGGATCGACTTTGCTCTCTCTGCAGGATTTGAATAAATGGAATAATGGAAAACGAGATAAAAAAAATATTTGGATTGGGGTAAAGGGCATCGCAGAGAGTTGTCTACACTCAGAATTGGGAAAAAAGAAATTATATCTGAATGAAGGCAGAGGCAGGGAGGCAGAATTATAATTAAAGTACATGCAAAATTGATATTTTGAAAGCTGCAAAGATATATGTAGTAACATAAGTTTAGGGTATTAATTCATTGCTAATTAAGAGAAGGTTCTTCTGCGTGATTTTATTTGCCGCTGAAAATTAGTTACTAGCCAGTGGGAATATCCCGCCCATTTTTGGTTCTAAGATTAAAAAAGAAATACTGGGGTTGCGTAAAGGATATACATTCAGTCTAGACCCAAAAAAACATGATCAGGAAACACGCTTTATATGACATGCAATTGATAACTTATTTAAACTTTTTTGAGTAAAAAAAAACGCATTGAAGAAAAAAATAAAGAAAATGAAAGATAGCACAAAGAAAATGTAAAATAGAATAAAGACAAACAGGTAAACTGATGAGCACCGACAAATTACTGCAAGTACAGCTGCATGTGCTTGAATGTCAGCCAGACTTAATGCAGTTAAAAGTTAGTATTTGCACTTCAGTATATCTTAAGTCCGGATTCTGGGTGTCAGATCTTTTTCAACATCGATATCTGAGCTTGAATCAGCAGTTAAAAAGTACTCAGTTCCAGCGCGCTTTTCCACTGATTGCCTTTGCGTTCAAATTAAGCTGCGACTTTATATCTTTTGTAAGTTTTCAACAGCACTCTCATTTGTCACGCATTTTTAACAAAACTTTTGCCAGCAGTTCAGAGAGAAAAACAATTTACATGATGTAATGGGAATTCTAACTTTTAAAGAACTTTTAAAGAACTCCCGTCACTTTTGCACCGCTTATTTTATCTAAATGAAAGCACAAAGTTCAGAAAACTTCATTGAATAACACGTGTCTTAAAACAGCTTGCATTTGTAGTTGGATATTTCTTGGTTGTAACATGTGTTTGTACCCCCTCTATCTCGTATTTCAGGGAGAATGAGAGTTGAGTGATGGAAAACGCATGACAAAAACGCGCATAGTCATCGATATTTTCAATCCTTGCAAATGCTGAATAGAGAATAAACGCCCAAAATGTATTCTAACAGAGGTGAATAAATTTTCGGAGATTTATTGCACACTTTCATGAAACTCAAGGCGGATGAGGGTTGTATAATAAGTTTATTCGTCCTGTTTGAACTCCGCCGTCAAGGGGGCTATTATTGCTTTGAAAATCAATCGGTGCAGCTGTTGTATACTTTGAATAAGTGCGTGTACTTTATATTCACACGAGTTAATTCTGAAAATTGTTCTTTTATTTATTTATATCATATAGCCTGGTGTCCGACGAATTTCCCAAGTGCATGTCGCTGACATACATGTGCAGCACTTAGGTATTTCGTCGCTACCCGAATGTCACCGTGAATAGCCTAAGTTTACTTTAAATTCCGGCCGACATACAGAATTTTACCGGTCTTCGACCACCAGTGCTGCACTCCTAGGTCCGACAACGAGTTAGCCCCGAATACCACCTCCGACCAACAAAAGGGGTGGTTTGAAGGGTTTCTAGACACACTCGCAGGGATTGGAACAAACTACTGTTTTGCCTTAAATATATATTTTTACTTCAAGCCGCTGATTATGTAACGTAACTCGCGGTATTATGAACAGAATTAGATAAACAACATGAATGAAAATTTGCAAGAAGGATGAAAAATAAACACCAAATCCAACGTGATGAATTCTTGAATAATAAATAAGACCTCATTTCTATGTTTAAGATTTCAAACTTTAGCAGTATCAACAAAAATAACTGGCTTTTTTCTATTTTTCGGCTGCAATTTATTTTCATCATTAATTTTTCACACTTAATTCGAAATGAAGACAAAATACGAAAGCTTTATGTGGTCACTCTCTTATTGCAGCCACACTAGTGCCTAAAGTAAAAAAAGTACATATAAGCTTGTTAGGAATTATCAAGTAAACCGTATGATATATATTAGTTTGCAGGTAAGCAATGCGAGTTTAACCTTTACAACGTTAAACAATGCAGCAAATAAATAAATTGATAAATAAATAAATTTATGCTTATCAAATTGGATTTTCTCCGAACTTAAAAAAGTAAGAGATTAACAATTTTTAAACTTACTGAAGTTTCACTCATTGAAACAGACGCACACTTCTTGGTCGGAGGAACATTGCCCACCCCTTCCGAGCAGATCATAGCACGCCGTCCAGCATTTTTTGAAGTGGCATTTTCCGCCTTTCTTCCCAAGATATACCGTCTGCCCCTTCTGTATAGCTACAATAGACATAAACGGTTCAAAATACATGAAAACTAATGAATTATGTTAAAAAATTATTGCGGAACCTAATCAACTGTTTTTTATAACTACCTTATATCATTATTAATATATAGCAAATATAAAACAAACAAATAGCAATAACAAATAAATGAGACAGGTGACCAATGGAAACTCCAAGAAATCCGTTAAATATTTTTCAAAAATGGAGATATGACATTCGCACCAAGAATATTGGTTCGCGTGCACCTGTAGCTTCTGTAGAGAAAAATTACTAACCTTTTCTTTTGGTTATATGGTCAGAATGAGTAATGACAGTGTATGAATGGGAAATGCTTAGAGCTGCCCCTAATCCAGCCGTTGTGCTACTCTCGACTTCAAGCAGCAAAATCGACAAAATTATCACGAACAGCGCAACACTGGTAAGAAACTTCATCTTCACGGCAAGAAGAATGGCTATGCAGACGACAGACATGGTATATGTAGATACTTTAGGTCACGTGGACAGTCTGACAAACCAATCAAACCCAGCTGCTTAGCGTCAATCATTCTACAGGGTGTTCACTAGCTGCCAATGCTGCATAACCCGTGTACCGATGTTTTTTCACATGTAAAAAGTTTTAGAAATTAACAGCATAGCTATAAATCACCGGTGCCAATACTGAATTTACAACAATTTTCTTTGAAAACAAAGTGGTTGAGGAGGGTTGAGGCGGGTTGGAGGCATCCATTCTCCGCCTTTCCCCCATAAGAACAGTATCAGGCCTACCCAACTACCAGACTCGGCACCTAAGGATCCTGAATTAACCGGTATATCGCACCACACTACCCGTTTTCAAGGTGTGTGTCAGATTGCATTTCGTAGTATCATACCCCAGAACAAATTTTGTAGGACGACTGCGGGCTCATCCACGCTCTGCTGTCACCTTGATTGGATAGTAAACTGTACTCTTACTTTAGAGTACTCTATTTTATTGTCTCTATGGGGGTATATGGGCACTTTACGACATTCGGTTTGAATGTTTAACACCTTTTGATAGGGCTTTTTTGCATTGTATTAGATTAATGTGGCAGTATAAGGTTGTTCTAGGTGGTTTTCAAATTTATGCACCCGGTTTTAAAATCATATAGGGATTTTACGACAATCGTTTACAACATATTGAGAAAATGCAATCTACGGAGCCAACCTGTGCCGATAGACGTATCTTGTTGGCACTCTTCCGATTTTCTTACATATATACACTCGCTGTGCACAAGCCACGGTGCATATTGAAAACCCCACTGATACAACCCGAACGTAAAATAAGCATTTAATTGCCATAATTTACACAAAACAGATGCATTTATAATTTGACGTGAGAATTGAGCAAACGCAGAAATGAGAGACTGGTCTTATCTGGTCTGCTCCAGCATACCTAGCGCAAACCACATGTTAATGAAGACGGTCCCATTGTGGGGGAGGGGGTCACAGGAATGGAGTTCTTCACGGATTACGCTAAATAATATCAACGTTTCATGCATCTGGGGAAATAGTGACTCACAGGTAACGTAAATACCCAGTGGAACTCTCTGTGTAGCTCCGCTTTTCACTGCCACATAAGTTACTGGGGTTTTTTTTTTCTAATAAGGTAGACGTCATTTTTATTGTTGACAGAACAGTTATCCATGACGGTGAATATAGCTACACGCGTTCGTCAGATTTTGACAGCGCGTGGTATTTATCGCCAACAAGTCTAGGCGGTCGATCTCACTGATCTTTCAGTCGACTGTAGTAAATGTAGGATCTCGCGGCATTGACTTCAAGAACGTTTCCCCTGCATATATATTTCAATCAAACTTGAAAACAAATTGCTTATTCTTCCCAACATTTTTATACGCTATTTTAATACGCTATGTATGGTCTATATGAAGATGTTTACTACATATCCTACCCACTGTCGACATTTGGTTTCATCCAGAACAGACATCCCCCCCCCTCCCCAAGTTACGGGCATGACGAATCAGCCAGCGAGGGCAAGTCTGCTAAATTAGCACAAATTGTATGTCTATAAGCACTATTATTGTTATAGGGGACAAAGGAAATGACAGGTACGTCTTGCTTCCAGATTAGATCTTCAATAAATTGTTTCTTCCTCATTGACAAAAGCTATTGAAAGTACAACAATTGACAAAGGGCCGAGACATGCAGCATCTATTTCACTGGCTTGAAAATTTACCGAGTCTTGCCGACGATGTGGTCGAACAATCGGAACAAGAAAAAAATTCTGTCGCATGATTTTGACGTATGGACTAAATGTTTGAGCCCAGAAAAATTAATTTTATAAAATAATTTTTATGGTCGGATTGACTGGGCCCGTCGAAATGCTTGGCACATTACCGTATCCAATCAAGGTGACAACCGAGCGTGGGTTCATCCTGTCGGTGTTATGGCTGATGCTTTCTTATATATATATTTTATATTCTATTCTATATATATATATATATATATATATATATATATATATATTAAAAGTAAAAGCGTTTTTCCTGTTCGAGTATATATTATATATAATAAAAAGAAAAAAGAACAGCAACTATTTTGCCCCGACCGGTTACATTCTTTCTTCAGGTGGTTTTGTTTATTTGTTACTAGGTGATGTCAAAAAGGCTTGGGGCGGATTGAAGCCGTCTTCTGGGTCTTCCGGAAGACGGTCAGATTTTCAATTTGCATTCACGGGTATCTAAATTTTCCAGTCGGAAGACGGTCAAATATAGGGGATATATCAACAAAGATAATTTGGAAGTCTGTCAGAAAATATCTCTGGATCCGCCCCATCACGAACTTGTTATAGAGTCATATACCGGTGAAGCAAAACACATAACTAAACGTGTAACGCTGCCAAACACGTCTAGCATTTTCTTCTGTGAGAAGCTTTTACACATATTTCTAAATGTGTTAAGGTGCTAAACGTGTGTTGCATGTGTCTAAATGCTGAACACTGTTTTTAGAATGTGCTTAACAGCATAATCACCGCCAGTTTTTAATTATACGCTGCTGGTAACATACAGTATATATTTAGAAAACGTGACCAGCTACGTGTTCAAGCCCATGGAAGTCCAAAGTCACCCCTTGAAAATACCAACATCTGAAATTTTAATATTTCACAAAATAAAGCATTTCTTAAAGAAAAATAATCATATCAGGCTTGTTTTCGAAATCGACCGATATTTTACTTCTGTTGATCACTCCTGTAAGTTTGGAGACAGTAAATCAACCGTCACTCAACTTTGTGCAATCTGTATTGCATTACTGCTGAAAAAAAGCAAAAAAAAAAAGCACAAATTTGGGAAAAATGGTCCAACCAAGCTGATTTTCATAACGTAAGGGATAATTATTTCCAACGGGTTTTCTTGTTTCTGAGATTTCTATTCAGAATTATTTTCGACAGATTTCCAAAAATGATAGATGTTATCGAAACACTTTAAGCCAAATAAGAATGAGCAATAATAGCAAATCTTAATTCAACGCAACATGGATCATGTAACTTTATGCCCTATGTATAATGTAAGCAAAGATAAGCCAACTCAAATTTTCGACTTGTTCGAGTTTTCAGGCGCCTTCGTGAGGCGACGAAATTCAATCTTTCGTGGTTGATAAAAACTTACTGATGAAAGCTCAGAAATGGAGTTACCTGAAATTCAGTTCAATCTGTGACATAATATACCAAGGTCAAAGTCGTTTCTGCGTCCTCAGATGACGCTTTGGACACATTTCCTTTTATGGCGATTCTTTTGCGCAGTAGGCGTCTCAAGGTCGTCTCATACTAGCTGTGATGAAACAATGGTATTGGACTACCCTGACTGCAGAGACGAAACTGCTTCTTAAGCCCTATTGGAAGGCGTCCGCTCTGCGTCCCGTAGTACGGACCCGTTTGAGAGTGAAGCAGGCCGATCATTGATAATTTATTCAGCAACCAAGGGATGCTTGTGCCTCCCTTTTACGACAACAGCGACGGCAGATTCATGGTTGCACAAAGGACGCAGAAAGGACGCCGTCCAGTGTAAATGGGTTATAGTAAAAAAAAAACGGAAAATATGACGTGGGCTCCAGGGTGCCGCCTAGGCCAATGATTGTTTTGATTCCCAAAATGTCGCAAATCTGCCGATAGTTGGAAAAATCTCATTCCCGTGAATTTAAGAGGAGACGAAGACCTGCTAATTTTTTTAATTTCCATAACATGACATCACACGTTGCACTTGACACAGTTTTCGGCCTAACATGCAAGGTACCCTTGTCCTTGCTGAGGTAAACGTCCGATCAGACCCTCAGTTTACTTGCTCGCCATGATTACAGTAAAATATCCTCTATTTAATATCCTACTCCACAGTTCAAAGATCACCAGGTAATCAACCCTGTCATCTGACGTGGAATACCAGGCCCGCTAGCAATTTCAAAAAAGGAGGGGGGGGGGTCTTTTCCTGAAAAAGTTGTCCTTTTAACATGAAATCTTCGTGTACCTAAATATGATTTTACCCAGAGGGGAACTTTTTCCAGCAAAAGGGGGCCCTTTCGAACTGTTCTGGCCACGGGCCAAAATATTCCATATATTGTCTCTTTTCTACGTGTACCAGTAGGTCACTTACAGTAATTTCTCTCTAGCAATTTCTCTCTAGCACAGTGAGTCTGCAAATATGGATCAATGATATCTATAACTGAAAGCTAAACAAATAATAAAAAATCTCATTATCATCAGCATACCTCTGCCGTTCTTAGCTGCGAAAGAGACATGCAGCGCTTTCATGAAGAAGAATATTCGGAAGAATTGAGATATCTGCATGTGTTCTCCGAAGCCCATGGGTGTTGATTTCCTTCTTTTTCAAGACATAAGAAAGGGAATACAAATGGTTACGCGTTCGAATTCCTTGCTAGGCTTTTTTTAAGAAAAAGGAAGAGAGTCTGATTATATTTTATTATCCTAATAGTATTTTACAATTACAATTTACATTTTTTCAACATTGGAAGGTTTACTTTATCTGGCAATTCGACATTCCACTTTACAACTGTATTCTGTTGAGCATGTGGTTGATTTTACTATAAGCAAATAGTATTCATGTAAATAAAAATTATTATCATCAGCATTATCATTATGAATTACAGTGGTGACATATCTAAATATTCTGAGAAACTGATTTTTAATTTGACCCTCTCCCCTTTTCACTCCTACCTTTCGTCTAGAACTTGCCCTTGACTTTTTATCCTTCTTTGTTTATTTGCGTTTATGAACAAACAGCTACTGCTACTTTGAATAAACATAACTCACCAGTTGCAAAAACAACAAAGATTTCCAGAAATGATAACTGTTATCTTAATAATATTTTAGGTCTAGTTACCAAATGTTACTCCAAATAGAAGTGAGATCCCGTTTCCTTATTCAAATAGAACCAGGTGTTCAAGATTAATCTTAACACGAGTGA